TTGAAAGCGTGCCTCTATCACGCGGGATGGATGCACGCCCAAGCAACAATTTTGGTTTTATAAGGGTTCTGTAGACCGCGGCTTAGACTTGTAGAATGCTATAAAACCGCAATAAAACCTGCAATGTTACTTGGGCGTGTACATTAACTCTGATATTTAATCAAATTTTTGGACCGACCATGCCTTATGCTGTGCCAATAAGGTCTAGTTGTTGCACTACCAGGAAAAAAGCACTTCAAAGGATTCAGAACAAAGTTCTGATGATGATTTTGAAGTTGCCTCCCTTGTACAGTACTAAAAACAGACATAGAATTTCTAATGTTGAGGCTTTAGAACAAATGAGTAACAAAACAATTACTAATTTCAGGAAAAATCGTTCCAATTCTTATTTGCAACAATTAAGACCCTTTATATTTAGATAAAATTTAGTTTAAGTTTTTACTTTTAAGAAAATAATTGTTATACTGACATTCAGGTAAAGAAACCCTGTTTAAAATACTGAATTGCCAAGGCAGGAACAATGTAAAAACACTTAGATATATATCGTAACAAGCAAGGCTCGTAAGTTACTGTAGCAGCTGGAGCACCCAAGTTACCAAAAGTTCCACATTCAACACTTCCAAGTTCCATAAAGTTCAAATAATGTTCCGACAGAACTTTAAAGTTACATAAAGTTCAAATAAAGTTCCGACAGAACTTTCAAGCCACATGAAGCAATCCGCACAAATCTTTTTTTGTAACAAAATTTAATGTACGTAAATATGAAATAATCAGTGGCCCGAATATATCATAATTCTTCTATTTATGTAACATTCTTTCAAAAAAAAAAAGAAGTAATTTCCTGGATTCGAACCCGTGTATTCGGCATGTGACCTACGATTGCTAACCACTGCGCCACAAGTGTGATGGAATACCATGCGGGCAAACACCAATTTAAATTCATCAAGGTGTTGCATTTCGTATTCAAGTCAGTCAGCTGGCTCAGAAAACTCCAACAATAGGCGGGACAACAGCTCACTTTAATATATTTCAGATGACGTAGTGGTTCGGGCTGAGACTCTCACGCAGAAGGTCTGGGTTTAATTCTTCAAACAGCTCCATTACTACTACTAATGCTGATAAATCAATACACATTAATACCTGCCTTTAGAAATAACTTTCATAAAAGTGCGAACTAAATATAGAAATATATATTTATATAATATATTTTCTAAAAGTTCCGTTCAAGTTCCGCCAGAGGCTGCTTAGAATGCACTTCAATTATGGTGCCGGAACTTTCAAGTTCTTATTACGACTTAAAAATGAGGCTGCTTAAAATTCTATAGACCACCTTCAACCAAGGTGCTTAAGCCATAAATAGCCTACTGGCTCAAATGAAATTCCCGAAGAAGTCGGAAGAAAATTCGAAGGCAGCTACAGGCAGCTTAATACTTTTCTGCTATCTGCATATAAATAATTCCCTATTCTCGTAAATTTCCACGGAGAGTCATCAATAAGCTAGTTACCGTTACTCGGGAGGTCAAAAAAAAAATGGGAAATGAAAACACTAATTTAGAGTAAATTTCCAACAGAATTCTGAGGAGTATTCCAAGATAATTTCACGGGCAATTCCAAGAAATTTCTGACTTAAATTGCAAAGTAGTTTTGAGCATAATTCTAAGGGATGTGTAAGGAGAACTCCAAGGTTATTGAGAGTGGAATTCCAAGAGAAGAAGGACAAGCGAAATTCTAAAAATGATTCAATGATTATTCTGAAAAGAATGCTTCTAGGAGGTTTTGAGGTAAATTTTAAAGAAATACTTAAGAAAGAGCTTTGAGCGTGTTGGTTTATTTCCTTTAAATTCCGTTATAATTGATATATATTTTGACAGATATGCGTATTTTGTCTACTACTAGCAAAATTCATCAGTGCCAAGTACTCAACACCACTGAAGAATCCATCTTTTATCTACGAGTTACATACTAATCAGTAGGTACCAAAAATCATCAGGTAGCCACTGCCATGAACAGGCATTTGCATTCATTTCGTGCATTCATTTACATTCATTTGTCCGTAACTTTTTTCATCAACAGAACTCCGCAAAATAATGTATTGAATTTTTATAGGCTTTGTTATTTACCAGACTTGGTAAAAACACCGCTCGGTGCGGCTCGGTGGCAACCTACTCATGTATGCACAGCACTGGGTTTCTTCGATAAAGCACCCGGTGTCGGTGCAACATGTTGGCACGCCATCGAACCAAAAGAGAAACCCGAACGTGGTGCTACGGGCTTCGGCTCGCCACCGTGCGGCACGGAGCCAACGAACCGCTCATGATTTCGTATCGTTCATTGTTGGAGATTGCCAGCTGCTCTAACAATTCCAGTCGAAAGAATTGTCAAAAACCATTTCGAAACACTTTTACAAAGCTCCAATCTTGTCTAGTGAGAGCGACTGTTGTGGGCAACATCTTTTTATTCGGCAACCTTTCTATTTGAGCTGCGTGTTAAACTGCTGTGTTTTCATCGGCAACTCGAAATCAGCAGCAGTGCGTGTGTTTCATTTCAAGAAAACCCTGCTAGATTGCTTTTTCTCAGTGGTAACAATATAATCAATTTGAAGCTGAAAGCCTGCTGCTGCTGCTGCTGTGTTAGGGAAAGCACTTTTCGCAGGTGATATTTTAAACCAGGGTGACGCACTTGGCATATATGGCCCACAGCGACTCACGAAGAGCTTCTGAATCTGATCAGTAGCGGTGCGGCTTCTTCCTCCTTCTTCGGTGAACGAGGGCTCTTGAGGGCAGCCTTGATAGCTAGCTGCTTGCGGGTAGCCTTTCATTGTGTACTGAAGAACAATGTTCAACGCCACGCGCCGAAAGCAAAGCTGCTTCTGCTGCTGATGATGATGACGACTGACCACACACCACCACACGCAATGATTGAATAAACACCGTTCGGCGGGACAGAATGGAATTCGATTTTGAAATGTGTGTTAGGGAAAGCGCTTTTTGCAGGTAATCAGTGATATTTTGATCACCATTGCGGCAGTTGGATATTTGTGTGTTATTTTCAATAGTGACTTTTTAAAAATTGATAAAGTGTGCATTTGTAGAAACATTTCCGATCGATTGACTTGTTAAGAATTAAAATCCATCCGCTATTGACAGAGTTATTAGTGATCAAAACCTTACCACTTTTCGTGACGCAGTCGATTTTGTTTTTTTCTTTGGAAATTGCAGCCAATATGTGTTGTCAAAAGACGTAATTCTACGTCAAAACATAAAGTTGCAAATACCGAAGAAAGAACCACCATGATAGGCCTGCTTTTAATCGAGCCCTTTTCCATTTGGGTCAGTATGGGATAGTCCCATGTACGCAATGGTACAAGTTTTTGGTTTTACCCATTTAAATCATGTGGGCCATGACAGGTACATTAGGGTGCTTCATTTTGAAAAAAAAAAGTGTTTTCAATCATTAAGGCTACTCTTCAGTTTGATGTATTAGCTCAATACATGAGCTTGTGCAAAAAATGACATATTATTATGACGAATTACTATGGTAGATTTTTTAATTTCACTATTATCGCGCTATCTTTGGTTAAAGTTGTCAGAATGCTGTTAAATTTTTGAATGTGGTTTGAAGCCTGTCGTTGTTGTGGTGATGTTGGTTGTTGTTGACAGGCACATATTCAACTACCCTATTATCAATTCTAACACACTTAAAAATAACTAATTTTAGACGTGACGGAATCCATCTTTGACATAAAGGATCAGACGTAAACAAATATTTCATGTAACATTAAGTGCTCCGAGAATGAAAAGTTCGTTACTCGACGAAAAGTACATTTGATTGAGTTGAATTTCGCGTCTGTTATGACTCAATTCTATGTCAAAATTTACGCTCGTATATGTCAGTCTCAGAGCACCTGAAATTACATGATTTTTTCTAAGTGTGTTTTTTGTGTTAAGTCCAAAGTTACAAACTATTTTCGAAACTTATCAAACTTCATCAACCTTTACCACACACTTAGACAAAAATGATTTAAATTTAGGTGCTCTGAGACTGACATATACGAGCGTCAATTTTGACATATAATTATCGGTCTTTTCAGTCTTGGAACACTTAATTTCACATGACATGTTTGTGTACGTCTCATCCTTCATGTCATAGATGGATTCCGTCACGTGTAAGATTAGGTATTTCTAAGTGTGCATTCATTGCACAGACTCAAGGGTTATGTATCTAACTGGAGGGTGGCACTCATGATTTCAAACACATTCTACAGAATGAAGCACCCTGCTGGTATGCTAAAACTGGATCATATTTCACAGCACTATGCATAGGCTTCCATCTCTTTGTTAAGCCCAAACACGAATGACTGTCGATTGTCCTCCTGATGCTTTTATCGTAATGAAAGTGTTTCCAATTTTCACTTCGGCAGACACCACACAGGTTTGTTCCGGAATCTGCAGCAACTTTTGTAAAGAAAGCTGTTCCCGTTCTTCCTTCTCTTGCTTACCCACTACAGAGTAAGGGGAAGCTTTAGAATCTGAAATTTGCTACAGGTACGGCTGACGACGACTCGAACTGACTTCCTTCCTTCCTTGGAAAAAACTTTAAACACAAATTCAATTTGTCCTTCAATTTGTCGAGAAAACGTGTCTTCCATATAGCAAGCATCTTTTAGCCACAGGGCTAAATAATCTCCTATATCTGCATAGGTCGGTACTGGTAGTCCTCGAATCGCACTCGCGATACACTGCTAGAGAGCAAGCAATTTCAGGAAAAACGGCACGTCTCGCATACATTATATGTTCAGGATAACAGTGGAACGGGCCTCCCCGTGATTTGCTTTCAACCAGATTAGTGGGACTATGTTGGTGGTGTTGGTAATGTGAGATTCCCTTCCTTAATGGATTTTTGAACGCCGAATAATTATCATACCACGTCGAGCGCAACGCGCCCGTAAATGCAACAACGGAAATTCAATGTCTTGCCTCTCTTTTTCTCCCTCTGAACAGATATCCACCCGATCGGATGGCATCGCAGCAAGGAATTGCTTGAATTCACTTGTTTTGTGATTCCGCGTTCATCGAAAGCCCGAGGAAGGCAAGGGACGCACGGAGGTCACACCGGAGACATTCCTTAAGGTAAGATAATTTAACGACACGTTTTTTTTCGGTTGGAGGAACATCAAGCTGAAAAAGGGTCATCGAACTCGATGCTGCCCGGGTGCAACTGGTAATTTGTGTCCCTTTTTCCACTTTTGGACAGAAAGTCAATTATCTCATCGTCTCCGGGTCGTATTTTATCTGGGTCCTGTCCTGAACATTTTGTGAATAGCAGCACCTCGAAGCAGTCGGTGCGTCGGATGATGATGGCACAAGAAAAGGGAGAAACTTTTTTTTTTTGTTGTGAAAAGATGTCCCAACTGCTCATGTGAGATGCTGCACAGTACAAATGATTGCATGTGTTTGTCCTGACAGATTGGGGAAGATGGTGGTTGGACAGGCATTACCTCGTTCGTGCAGTCATGGTGCAATGCTTTGCTTCAGGTGGTGCAAGCGAATGGACCACAAAGGAAATATGGAAAGAATCGAACGTTGTGCATTTTAGTATTAACTCATCTTTGGGTCGGACATGGCTGCAGGATGCATTGAACGAGTGGAACAAAAGGTTATTGATTAGTACAGGGCTGACCGATTTAATGGGCACATGAATGCATAATTTTTGATAGTTAGCGAGGAGCTTCGATTGGCTTTAGTCATTCCAAGGTGGAGATATTTCGGTGTAACCGGTTAAATTTTGCACCTTCGATTTCTTATGGAGCTGTACTTGGCATAGCTGGAATTTAAGAAGTAAGATGATATCCTTGTTGAACTTTGTTAAATATGATTTGTTTAACCACTTTTCTTTTCCAGAAGCATGAGCTAAGATTTAAATCTTAACCATAAGTGGTGTGTTGTGATATGATGGCATTGATGGCCTTGAACTAGCACGTAAATCAAGTGTTATTCGCATTGTTATAGAAATTGTGTTGGTTGTAAGTCATGATTGAATCCTTCCATCGAGGTCATTGCATCAAAATGGCTTGTTTGCTGTTTTCCTGCTAATGTTTCAAGTGAGAGATTGACCGATAAATTACAACAACTCGATCGGAAACTCGATTTTAATTGTGAAATATATTCAATATGAGGCTGAGTGGTATAGCGGCGACCGTTTTTACAGTATGAAGAAGAGTACGGATGCAATCCCAGGCTACTTTTTATAATAAAGTTGTATGTGTCGCAGTGCAAGCAAACGATCACATCACTTACCACACGGCACTCATAACTACAAAACCGTAGGTCACTCATAGACTGAGTATAATTTTCCTCACTTTTTCTCAAAAATCTGCTCGAATATAAGAAAAATCGCCAACACTTTTACTCACTCTAGGAATATACTTATAGACTGAGGGAAAATCTTCTCGGTTTTCCTGATACTCGAAAAGTTTTTCCTGAAAAATCAAGGAAACTTTTACTCATTCTATGAGTAACCTATGTTTTCGCAAATTTAAATGATCCAAACTCTAATTTGAGATGGTTTAATCGGTTGTGCTTGTCAAATACTAATCTGCAACCATTTTCACTAACATAGTATTAAGCCAATCAGAATATTCCACAATAGAATCCATTTAAAATCAAGTTGTTTATGCTATGGAATAAAAATTAAATTTACAATACTGCTACGCGTTTAGTTGCTGGCTAAATCATTCAATAATTTATTGAAATCTGTGTTAAGGAATTTTTTTTTAACACTTTATTTGTACCTAATTTAAAATAAATTACATTTCATTTAAACCTAGGTGCTCCAGTTACTACAGTAACTTACCAGATATATATCTAAGTGTTTTTACATGGTTCCTGTCTTGGCTATTCAGTATTTCAAACAGATTTTTTTTTAAACCTGCATGTCAGTATAACAATTGATATCTTAAAACTAAAAACTAGAACTAAATCTTATCTCAGTATAAAGAGAATTAATCGTTGCAATTGAAGATTGCAACGACTTTGGCCTGAAATTATTAATTATTTTGTCGGACATTTGTTCTAAAGTCTCAACATTCGAAATTCTATGTACTTCGGTAGTACTGTACCAGGGAGGCAACTTCAAAATCATCTGCAGAACTTTATTCTGAATCCTTTGAAGTGCTTTTTTCCTGGTAGTGCAACAACTAGAACATATTGGCACAGCGTAAAGCATGGCCGGTCTAAAAACTTGTTTAAATATTAGAAGTTTATTCGTCAGGCAAAGTTTGGATTTCCTGTTTATAAGAGGATACAAACATTTTATATATTTGTTACATTTGGCTTGAATGCCCTCAATGTGATCTTTAAAAGTTAATTTTTGTCAAGTATTAATCTAAGATATTTCACTTGGTTTGACCAGGAAATTGGAACTCCGTTCATAGTGACTATGTGACTACTACTAGGTTTCAAAAAGGAAGCTCTAGGCTTATGTGGAAATATTATAAGTTGAGTTTTGGAAGCGTTGGGAAAAATCTTCCATTTTTTTTATATAAGAAGAGAAAATATCCAATTTTTTCTGCAGTCTGCTACAAATAACACGAAGACCTCTTCCTTTAGCGGAAATGCCTGTGTCATCAGCGAACAAAGATTTGTGGCAGCCCTGAGGCGAATCATGGAGGTCCGAAGTGAAAATGTTATACAATTTAGGCCCAAGAATGCTACCCTGAGGAACTCCTGCTCTAACAGGTTGTCGACTAGATTTGGAATTATGATAATTTACCTGCAGAGTTCTGTGAGTTAAATAATTTTGAACTAATTTCATAATGTAAAGTGGAAAATTAAACCTTTTCAATTTAGCAATCAAACCTTCATGCCAAACACTGTCGAATGCTTTTCTATGTATAGAAGAGCAGCTCCAGTTGAGTGACCTTCAGATTTGTTTGAACGAATTAAATTGGTGACTCTTAAGAGTTGATGAGTAGTTGAATGCCCATGGCGAAATCCAAATTGCTCATCTGCAAAAATTAAGTTCGTATTGATGTGAAGCATCATTCTATTTAAAATTATCTTTACAAAAAGTTTGCTTATTGAAGAAAGCAAACATATTGGACGGTAGCTAGAAGCTTCAGCTGGATTTTTATCCGGCTTCAAAATTGAAACAACTTTTGCATTTTTCCATTTATCAGGAAAGTATGCCAGATGGAAACATCTGTTAAATAATTTTACCAAGAAAGACAAGGTACTCTCTGCGAGTTTTTTGATGAGGATATAGAAAATTCCATCATCACCTGGAGCTTTCATATTTTGAAAATTTTTAGTTATAGACCTTACTTCGTCCAAATCAGTCCCCCAGGAATCATCAAAAATATTTTCCCGAGAGAAAATATTCCGAAAATCCCGAGCAACCTGATTCTCAATAGGACTAGTAAGACCCAAACTGAAATTATGGGAACTCTCGAATTGCTTAGCAAGTTTCTGAGCTTTTTCCAAATTTGTGATCAAAATTTTACCACCTTCTTTAAGCGCTGGAATTGGTTTTTGAGGTTTTTTCAAAATTTTTGTGAGTTTCCAAAAGGGTTTGTAACTCGGGTCTAATTTAGAAATATTATTTTCAAAAGTTTTGTTCCTCAGGGCAGAGAATCGCTTTTTAATTTGTTTTTGCAAATCCCGCCAGATAACTTCATGGCAGGATCGCGTGTTCTTTGAAATTGCCTCCTACGGACATTTTTAAGACGGATCAAGAGCTGAAGATCGTCGTCTATTATAATTGAATCGAATTTAACCTCGCATTTTGGTACTGAGGCAGCTCTTGCTGCAACTATAGAAGTAGTCAGAGATTCAAGAACATAATTAATTTCATCTTTGGTTTGCAAAGGAATGTTTGGATCGAAGTTATATTCCATAAATGTTCGATACTGCTCCCAATCAGCTCTATGGTAATTGAAAGTAGAGCTGTTGGGATTACAAATTATTTCTTGGGATATTTCAAAAGTTACTGGAAGGTGATCAGAACCGAAGTCAACATGGGTAACCAATTGGCTACAAAGTTGACATGAATCAGTTAAGACCAAATCAATAGTTGAGGGATTTCTTGCTGAAGAAAAGCATGTTGGGCTGTTTGGATATTGAATAGTGTAATAACCTGCAGAACAATCATCAAACAGAATATTACCGTTGGAATTGCTTTGAGCATTATTCCATGAGCGGTGTTTTGCATTAAAATCACCAATAATGAAGAATTTAGACCTATGACGGGTAAGTTTCTGGAGGTCACCCTTGAGAAAATTCTTTTTCTGGCCTACGCATTGGAATGGCAAATAGGCAGCTATAAACGTAAGTTGTCCAAATTTTGTTTCAACAGAAACTCCTAAAGTTTCAAAAACTTTGGTTTCAAATGAAGAAAGAATTTAATGTTTGATTCGTCTATGAATAATGATGGCAACACCACCACAGGGTCCATCAAGACGATCATTTCTATAAATGCAATAATTTGCGTCCTTTTTAACCTTATGGTCAGGTTTAAGGAACGTTTCAGTTATAACGGCAATATGCACGTTATGAACTCTCAAAAAGTTAAATAGCTCGTCTTCATTATCTTTAAGAGATCGAGCATTCCAATTTAAAATGTTTAATGCTTTAAAATCCATTACTGAATTTTAAAGTCATGAAAATATTATTAGCAAATTTTACTCCAGTTTGAATAGCATCAAACATGGCGTTAGATTTAAGCATATCAGAAATCATGTCAATTAATGAATTCTGTAAAAATTCTACTTTAGGGGCATTAATGCTTCCTAAGTCAAAATTGTCAAAATTTCCGTTAGAACGTTTATTAGTAGTATAGTATTTTGATTTCTACCCACTGCAATAGCAGCATGCGTAGCTCCATTAACTCGCTGAACATTGTTAGTGGAGTAGGTATAGTTGAACAATTTGAAGCAGGGGTGATATTTGTACCTACGGGTACGAATGTAGAATACGTTCCTCGCTAACCGTTGTTAACAGCAGAGGAATTTGTACCTGGTCGGAAACGTGCAGCGTTTCCTACAAGTCGCTTAGAACGAGATTGTAGGATCGCTTTGCGAGTCTTACATTCCCAAAAATTGGATTTGTGGTTTTCACCACTATTTGAACATTTA